AACAGTGCCGGGGTAATCCGCTGACTCACTGACTTGCAGTCCTAATCCGGCCAGCCTTGTGTCTTTTCTTCCACTGTGTGTCGGCTGTGTAGACTGAGGTTAAACGTATGGTTATTATGGTGTGTGTGTGTGTGTGTGTGTGTGTGTGTGTGTGTGTGTGTGTGTGTGTGTGTGTGTGTGTGTGTGTGTGTGTGTGTGTGTGTGTAGAGGCCTGGCATTCCTGCAAAGTGGTGGCAGAGCAAAGGACCCCATGTTCCCCCACCGCCACCACGTCTCCCACTACGTGTGCACAGCGGCAGGTCTAATCAAAGCACTCCATAATACTGTTAGCTGGGTCATGTGCTGGAAGCCAGGATTAAGAGCAGGAGGGCACAGGCCACTAGATCCAGCTTAGGAGGGAGCGTTCTCCCTCTTTCTCTTTCTCTCTCTTTGTCTGCCGCTCTCTCTCTCTCCCTTCCCTTCTAGACTCATCTTTTAACCTCCCATGTGAGGACACAGCCATCCAAGGTTACAAATGTCTATTATACTATAATTATTATATATAACTGAAACAAGCTTGCATTTTCATTATAAACTGTTCTTGAAAGATCTCCACATTTGGTGTATGAGCTTGTTTATTTCCTATTTTCCTGAAATCTGGCCACAAACACTTAATACTATGACATAGTAAGCACATGTCCACACCAATGCAGATACTTCAAACTCCTGTCTATGTGTCTAACTGTGTCCTTCCCTGACCTTCTACCACCTGCTGTTGCGCCTGCAGGACACGTGCACTATGTAGACCTTCCCCAGACTGCTAGTACTATGAAATATAGATGACTATTAATAATATATCTATGTAATAAATGTGTTGATGGATTAGACTTTTCAGTCATTGTCTTGGTGTTCAAAAAGAATGAAAATTTGTTTTCTGTTAATTAATGTTAAAAGCCACATTAATTCTACTTTGATTCATACTGTAAGACAGTAAAACATGACAACTTATAAGCTTTTCAAAGATTTCCATTTTGGAGAACATTTTCATTAAGATCGGTCGGTCGGCAGTATCGAGTGGATGGAAGGCAAAAACAGATACAACAAGGGGCATTTATACCCATTGGTGTGGACGTAGCCTAAAACATAATTTATCATATTGGTACCTCTCCTTTCTCCTTTTCTCTTGCCCTATTTGTGCTGTGATTCAGCACTCACTAATACCGGCACCCACTTTGCCCCAGTAACACATTTTAATACCACAGAACATGCCAACAGTAGATTACCAGTCTCAGCAGTCGAGAAAGAGGTAGGTAGGTTGGAGGTCCTGGCAGTGCTCCGTGAGTTCAGAGCCAGATCAACATTTCTCTGTTTCCTCACTTAAGATGAGGATAGATCCGGAGGGGTAAACAGAGGAGGAAAGAGGAAGAAGGACAGCGGTGAAGGGGACACTCTTTGCTATTGGCTACCTATGCAGATTCGTGGAAGAGAACTGGAACTGTCCGGCTAAAGCCGAGCACGGGAGGGGGGTGAGAGAGGAGAGGAAAACATAGAAAGGGTCAAGGGTAAGATGACTCCTACACTCAGGAACATGGAGAGTGGTGGCAGAAAAAGAAGCTGGACTGCAACCTCAAAAAGCCACAATTGTGGGCAGGTACCAAGCTTGATTGTGTAAGTAGACCTATGATGTGGAGGTTAGCCAGCAAAACATGCCCCCTTACTGTTGTTAATAAAGTAGTTGGCTCTATATTTATTTTTTAGGCACATTTTGATTGGTCAGTTAGGATCCCTGTTGTGAGCATGGTTTATTCTCAGAGATGACCAATAGTTTCTGCCAGCCTAAAAGCTTTATTTTTGGCACAGCTTCCTTTGTATTGGTGTTATTTTAGTCATTGTGTTTTTTTATGCATTTTGAGTGAGGTTTGTGTGTGTGTGTGTGTGTGTGTGTGTGTGTGTGTGTGTGTGTGTGTGTGTGTGTGTGTGTGTGTGTGTGTGTGTGTGTGTGTGCGTCACACGCTAAGCTGGATGTTTCTAGAGAATCATGTCAAATCCCAGATTTATTAACTTATTTAAGAAAAAGATTACTAGTTGAAATCAATATTCATGTCTCTTTAAATGTTAAATCAATTATAAATCTGTGTTTGTTTCTTTTATTGCTCTTATTGTATTGCTGCAAATTAATGTCCTTTTATGGACCCTTTATGAAGCAACACAAACAGTGTAAGGACAGTACAGTGTGTCTGTCTCTTAAAACAGTTGTACAGACACTCTTATAGGGAGGAGTTGCTTTAGTCACTTTGCCATTTCAGGGTGAGGGAGTCAAACCCGTGCACAGTCTCCGCTGAAACCAGAGAGAGCTGACCTTAAAAGAGTATTTAAACATAAGGCTTACTCAACACTGAAAGCTAGAGGGGGGCTCGATTGTTTGTTGTTGTAACACAGCCTGCTTTAGTGTTGCTAAAGGCTTTGATACTTGTTCGGTCTATGGAGTGTGAGACTGACGTCTATGATTTTGTCATCGCACGAAACGGGACCAAGCCGCCATATTAATCCACGGTAGAAATATTGAAGGCGATGGAGTGGCTTACACATCGAAGACTAATGTGACAGAGGTGTCAGTAGAATACGTGATAAAATATTGTGTTTATTCAGTGGGCAATAAATCGGCTTGGAATATAATTTAACAGTTACAGGGAAGTCCCTGGGTTTTGCACTCAAAGATTGTTACGTGTCTTGTGGCGTTCTACTGTATATGTGAAAAACACTGTATGAAGTTCTGTAGGGAGCTGCAAGAAATTTGAAGAATTGCCTTAAGTCACATGCATTTTGGGTAATGTAGGCGCATGTGAAGAATAAAAGACGACGTCTCGATAACGACGATTCTGCTTTGAGTTTGATTTTGATTCTTCTTATTTTTTAACTTTCCATCGTACAATAAATCAACAATGCTAAAGGAGTGCAATGCTTAGTCGGTGGAGTACCCCTTATAAGTCATGTGTTCTTCAGTGAAAATCTGCAGTATACAGCCTTGTCTGTGCTTCAATTGATGTGGATAATTAAGTGTGAGTGATTTCATTATTACTGGCTGTTGTTTATCTTTGTGGTTGGTGGTGAGAAAGTGCCGCTGACACAAAAGCATTGTTGACACCCAGAATTACATTTGAAACTAATGTAGACACCACATGCTGTCAGTTCTTGTGTCAAACCTAAGTAAACTTAACTAAAAGGGAAAATAAATATTCATAAAGCTTAAGAAGGCTATTTTGTCTCAAAGGAGGGATTGTGGTCTGAGATGTTTCACTGCTGCCTTGGGATTTAAGTGATGGCGAGGAGACAGTGGGATGATATTCACTCATCTCTACCACTGTAAATCAGCCAAGAAAGTGTACTGAAAACTATTGATTTAGCTGCAGACCCACATTAATTTTTGACAGGTTGCCTGTGTGCTTGTAATGGCCATCAGAAGCAATCTGAAGGATTACCAGAGTTACTTGCTTCTTGACAACCTGACTTAGTGCTGCAATGCAGACCCACGGCAGTGGAGAGAGAGAGTTAGACGATTTATGGAAATGTGTGGGGAGCCTTTGAAGATAGTGTTGAGAGTGTCATGCGCGCTGTTGTTGTCATTCTTAAGCGACCCCCTTCCTGTCCATAGAGGCTGACTGATCTCAACACTGCACAGAGTGTGTGTATGTGTGTGTTTTGGTTCTAGCAGACAGCGCCTCCCTGCTGCGAAGCACAGAGTCAGAGGCAGCAGGTGCAGCTGACGCAGATAGGCTTTTTAGCAAGCAGGGCCAGTTGGGGGACAGAGAGGGAGAGAATGAGTGAGAAACGATAGAGGAGAAACCACAGGGACTCAAACAAACACAAGATCAGACCACTGAACGGTACCGGACAAATGAATTTATCGCCCCTATTCTAGTCCTTGCACAGTATGTGAGAACGAAGGGAACAGGACCTGAATTGCCCAGTGGCACCAGACATTGCCTTTGCTTCAATGGTGTACGTGAGTAATGAGTGTTTTTAAGTTTATGGTTAAAACTGTGCAAAGATTGCATGAAGGTCAAACAAGAAAACTGCATGGCTGGACTTGTGTGAGTGTGTGTGTGTGACTTGTTTGTGTCTGATATTTTTTTTCCCCAAAGTTTGAAGAACAATTATGAAGATGCCATGACCAGAGTATTGCGTAGTCATTGTTTAGAACAAAAAGCTTCCAGAAAGCTTCAACTAATTTGCTTCTCTTGCCTTATCTCTCATAGACTCCTTCGCCATGCCTCGTAGCATTATCAGTGAGTGTGGAGGAACTGCTGAAAAGGACGTGGACTCTAGCTCTGCTTTGTATGTTGTCAGCAATGAGCCCTGACTCTGCTCAGCACTCTTCATTGTGTCAACGAGAGCCACTGTCTCTGCCGGCCGAAGCCAAGTCACATAAAGACATACTGTTGGGCTGCGTCTTTTGAAAGGCACAATTGTAGCAAAGAAAGTGATTGGCGGACCGTAGCCAAATAACAATGTTGAGATAGTGCGTGTTCTTGTGTGACGGGCCTCTGTGTTACCATGAAAAATGGCCCAAACTGGCCCAGCTCATTTCATCATGCTGAATAGTTGCAGTATTCAGAGCTCATTCCCTCAGTTTGTCACACTGTTGCTCTCCTTCTGAACATGCGCATCAGTATTTATGTGCCGGAATCTTCATACTACATTGATCGATCTAAAACTTGTATTGTGCCGAGACCATAGTAACCAAGGGAATGGCAACGCTCTGAATGCCCTTGATCGGTCTGCATGCTTTTCTCCGGCTGTAAAACGCATCCACACACAGCTAACCTCCTCTCCCTCTCATCTCCCCCTCGTTGGTTATCCTCCTCCGCAGTCATTGGCTGCTTCCTCTCCATCTGTCCATCCTCTCTCCACGCAGACAGCCATTCAGCGGTACGCCCTGGCCTCTTCGACATTTGTCATTGGCTGGCATGTGTTGTGAATGCAGATACTTTCCTTTAAGAGGCAGTCTAGACTCAGCTGGCTATGCCGCTCTCACTCTCTCTGTTGCTCTCTCTTGTTATCTTGCTCTCTCTTCCTCTCTCCTGCAACACCACCACAACCTGCTGATTTCTCACTAAGCCTCTCCTGCTCCTTTCTCTCAGTCCTCCCGTCATCAGCTGTTCCACTCTCTCCTCATAATTTTATTTCCCGTCAATCACATGCTCACCTCCCCCTTTTTATTCCCGTTTTTCTTTTTTTTTGCTTTTTCAACCCACCGTTTCTCTCTGTCCGTGTTTCTCCCCTGTACAGTCATTTTGTCTTTGACATTCATTCATCTCCACCACTTTCTCACCTTCCACTGATGTGAGGAGACATGAAGGTGAGTGGAGTTGTTTTTCAGGCTTTCAGGTCTGCCTTCGTGCCTGCCCGTCAGTTTTTTGTCTTAACCATATGTCTCTGTTCTTTAAGTTTATAAGCCATCTGGTGGATGTGAGCATCCTGTGTCCTTGGAGGCACTGACTGCAGTTGCGTATGCTTCAGGTGTAACAATCAGCCAGCACTGGTAGGATGCTGCTGTGTGAGTCATCATCTGACACTGCATGTATGTATGTTCTAGCTTGGATCCTTTCAGCATGTGCCTAGAGAAGAAGGGTTAGTTGATGGGAGGAAGGGGTGGGGGGGGGGAGAGAATCAGTGCGTGGATAGTGCAGCCGCGTGTCAATGCAGACTGTAGCTCGTGACACAGTGTTTTGCACCAGCTGTGGCTGTGGTGCAGTGGCATCTCAGGCAGATTAATGAGCATTGTACAGCAGCAACAGCAAACAATTAGAGAAGTGATCACAGTAAGTAGTTTGCACACAGGTTTGCCTATACAGCCACAACACATTTGCTTATAGAGGTCAGCGCTGTAACAGGTAACATGCAATGCTCAGGTTTGGATGTAGCTGGACAGGTAATTGTTAATATTCGCCACATGTATTGAACAATGTCCCTTTTAAAAAAAATCTTGACTTTGTCCTCTAGACAGTATGATGAAATCTTCCAGCCTAGACAAAATGAAGACCTCATTTAGGCTTGTTTCCCCCATGTTGTGTTTTATTTGTGTCAGTGTCCTCATTATGTGTACTGTTTGCCACCTGACACCCACAGGAAGAAAATGTGTCTGCCAGAAATAATCCTCAAGAGCATGTTACCTCACAGAGTGTCGGTTTCAAGTGTTTTTTTTATTTTGTGTCGCTTTTTTAGATGGGAAAGCAGTTTATTTCAAGCTATGAGATGTTAAATGGTAAACTGATTGCTCTTATAGTGCTCTTTTTATCTTGGCAGACAAAGCGCTTTACTCACACACCTGCTATGCAAGGTCTGTCTATTAGGAACAATTTGGGGGTCTGTGTCTTTGACAAGTGGACCGGAGGAGCCAAAGCCAAAGAATGGTGTCATCCCCAGATAGTTAAGTTTGTGTATTAAACACTTAATAAATTAGCAAAATTGGAAAATTTCAAAAAGCTGATTGCAGTAAGGAATGCTGGGAATAATGGCATATGGAGTAGCAAAGAGACACAGTATATGCTCCTATGAAGGAAAACTCTAAATCACTATCAATTATCAATTTACCATCTTCTGGAGTACCAGGATATGTATTGGAATTCCTTCATGACTTTCCAAAAGTGGTAAACCAAACCGCAAAACTGGGGATGGACGATATACCAGAAACATTTATCATAATAAAATCATACAAAGTTTAAAAGGTCTACTTCATATTGATAATTATTGATGATTTGCATTTCCTATTTTTTAAGATCAGGTGCAAAGGTTGAATTGAACCACTTTATGCATCGAGGCCCACAGTTAATAATTTGAATGTTAATGTTTTATCATACAGTATTGTTCCTGAGTACCTTTCCATTGTGAACTGCCTGTGGATTGTTTCTTGAGATGTAGAAGATTTAGGTCGTGACTGACGACAGGTTTGCGTACTGAAATGGGTGGAAGCAGCTTTGGTGATTCACTCGTCACATGCTCCATTATCAAGGGGTATGATAGGCTGTTTTTGAGCCAGGACATATTTGTCATGTGCTTAAAGTATCAACACTAAAATATAGCTAGACCTGCTACTTGCATGAAGTAACATCATGGATTTCTCCTGGTGTCATAAAGTGTATCACCTGGGACAGCTCCTGCCTCCCCGGTGGTCTCAGGTTCAGCACCTTGCACCTGAGCTGAATGGGGAAACAGTATGTTACACACTGTTGGGGGACTTAATGTCTCAAACCTTTGTCATAGCTGAGCATTATCTTAGCTTGGAATTTTAAATTCACACTAGAGACCCAGAAGCCTCCAGACAGATGAGGTAAAATCAACCTGCTTAAGAGAAAATGAATATTCACAGGGCTCTCCAACAAACTGCTTGAAACTGATCCATTATCAGTATTTTAATGGCACAGCGGTCTTTTAAACAAACTGTGTTAGAAACCATAATTAACTGTGAAATTCATTTTGTTTGGTTTTGTTAGCTGTTGGCATGCAATATGTGCATGTCTAAAAGATTACTATACATTAACTTATTATTATTCAGCATACTTTGTGCCCCTGTGAGAGAGTTGCCTGCATATCATCTCAAATATCTCTCCTAAATTGTTTTGATTGAGCTGACAAGTAATTTCTTCCCTCTGGTAACAAGAAGCCATTATTGCCAGTTTTTCAAATTAAATTCAACATTTTAATGTTTCATCTCCGGTTTATTTTCCAGAAAAATATAACCAGAAAAACAGCAACATAATCATGTAGTGCATTGTTACCCAGGTAGCACAAAGCAATTATCCTCATTGCTGGTGAATCTGCATTATAGCACTCTGCTCATTTTCATATTTGCCACCCTGACTGAGTAGGTGTTACCAAAATTATATTTTTGCAGTAGAATACTCCTTGAAGGTAAAGTACAGTAATGTGGATGTGGATGTGGATGACGTGTTTAAAAATCTTTGCTATTGTGAAGGTTTTTTTATTCATTTGACTTTTAGTGGTGTGGAAAAATAGAGTAAAAGAAAAGATAACCTTCACACAGGTTACATAACATTTTATGCAACTCATTTTGTATTATGTTCTATTAAGAAGCTTCTATTATGTCTCTTAGAAGTTTCGAGGTCCCAATGAATCATTCATTGGAGAATTGTAAACACCCAGGCGTCACCTAGCTTGAATGTGTAGCCTGAGATGTTTCCTCTAACACACTGGCAGTCATATAGCAAATCTATTTGCAAGAAATCCATTTTCCATGAGCTTTGTTTAAAGTGCACCATGCAGATGAATCTGAAACTGAATCCCTGGCTCATTCTGTGTTCTCTGACTGGTGGCTGCGTGTACAAATCAATGTATGTAGCAAGTTGTGGCAGGGCTGTTGACTTACGCCTCAAGGACATAATGTCATATACCTCTTCATCTGTGAGAATGTAGCAACATTCACAGGTTGTGTTGTGTTTTCCATGTGCAATAGACATTTGATGTTTTCAAATCTAGCAGCTAACGCACCAGATACTGAGAGCTGCAGACGGATTTTTGTTTTGGAAGTGTGGTGTACTTTTTGACCACAGTTTGGACAATGCCTCACTGAGGTTACACAGCTTGGTTATGAATGCAGCCTGCTTGTGTCCATATTTGGCAGTCTGGTCAATGTCCATAGGGTGGTGTTGAGTGGTCCACAGATGACTGGGATGTTCAAGAAAAAGTACTTGCTCTGTTTCTGCAGTCACCACATTTGGACAAGGTGTCGCTGCTTACACCTTGAGTTGTAGCTGTTCATCATGAGAGAGCAGGGGTCAAGACAGAGGCTTGTGCAGTTCATTATTTATGTTGGATTTTGTAATGGGAACATAAAAAGGATGCAGACCTGTGCGACATGAACATTTACCAACAAAAATGACTGCTAATGACCTTGCAAGGCATTTCCCCAGTGTTGCGCAAAAGCGGAGGTAAACTGATGTGAAATCAGGCATTTGAGGCTGCCACGAACCCAAAAAAAGCCCTTGCAATCCTGGAGGGAAGATGGATACCACTCAGTGAGGAAAATATGAAGCTGCAGCCGCTTAGCTTAGTTTACCGCTGGACAGAGCCAAGTTAGCTGTTTTCCCCCGTTCCCAGTATGTATGCTGAGGTAATTTGGTTAACCTGCTGCTGGCTGTAATGATTTACCGTGCAGACTTGAAGGTAGAATCAATCTAGCATGAAAGCGAGTAAGGTTATTTCCCAAAATATTGACATATTGCTTTCTAAGTACTAGGGATACTCCATCGCCTTTGAGAAGACACTAGAATTGCCCCCCATGGGTTGCACTATGGACTTCCACTGCTTCTTGAAAGAAATTACCTACAGGCATCGTGTTAAGTTTAGCTTTTTTTATTTTTTATTTGGAATTTCTTTATGCTCTTGAGCTATTGTAGAACCATATTAAAACACCCTATTAATTTCCTCCAGAAAGAGAGAACTATTAAACTCAAAATGTCCCAGATTATTAGGTTGAAGGTTGAACTACATACAGCTTTCTAACTGGCCGTAATTTTGGGTTTCACTGCATGTACTGACAATATCCTGTCACCCTGACAAAGGCTATCGAAGCTCAAGCACATTGTTTTTTTAATATTGCCATCAGACTAGTTGACTTTTTTTTTTTTTTACTTTCGTCTAGGACTTAGGAACAATTTGAATCTCCTATCACAGCAGTCAATAAGAAGACTACACAGATTACCATTAGACTCCTCTTAGTGTACACTTTTTAGCCCTGGAAAAAATAGTTTTTATGTGCACTGGGAGTGGCGGTATTTGAGCTGGTGTTCATGTATCACACCACAACGAGGTCTTCAGAATGGACCAAGCGTCAGCTGCAGCTGTCATGTTGAGTTGCCCTGTTTAGAAAATTGTAGACCTGATTAAAAAGGCCTGGCATTTGTGTGCACGCTCACACTCAAGTCACTCACGCTCATCTTTCCTCCTCTTCACACTTGCCCACACACACACACACACACACACACACACACACACACACACACACACACACACACACACACACACACACACACACACACACAAACAAACACAAACACACACTTGAATGACTTGCTCTCTGCTTTCTCCGGTGACGTGTTTGACCGTTGCACAGACAGTTTCTTCTGTGAAGTCTCTGGTTCTGCCTGGGGGACGGCCATATTTGACTGCATGGTCGTCTTGTGGCAGAGGTGTTCCCCGGATTAAACATTTACACAGCGTCTTGTGTTAGTCCTTTCAAAGTCTGCTACTGTCAACACATGGATGGTAAAATGCACTATTTGTACAGCACTTCTGAAGAGAGGATTTCAAACAAAAATATGGGAAGATGAGACAGGCTTATGAAGGCCCTGAAAATACTTCTATATTGGTGCAGACTTAATGAAATTGCATTTTAATGTTTCTGCTTCTAAGGGCAAATTATACGTGACATGAAGCACTTAAGGAATCAATTGAATTTTTAGGGCTTCAGATAGAGATAACATCCCTTCCTAAGATTTTATTGTGATGTTTGGTCATGAATTATTAACTTAACCTTTTTAATCACAATTTCATTTATTGATGAGTTTATGGCCTCAGTTTATCTGTTTACTCTCAGCCCATGAGTCTCAAACCTCTGCCTGAAGACTCTTTAAGTCCAGTGGCACTGATCCTTTGCTCTGATCTCTTTCTTGAGGGAAGCAAGTGAAAAGAGAATTCCCCCTCAGGGATCAGTGAACTATCACACAAATTGTACTCAGTCTTTTTGAGATTTGGCACCCTCTGAGCTCTCTTTCCCTTCATATAAAAAAGAACTGGCCAGGGATCTGAGGAAAATGAAACGTCAGATTTGTTGTTAGATTTTTTACTATTAACAATGTAATAATGTTCACTTAAGGTACTAGATCCTCATTCAGGGAGGTCTTGTGTGAACTTGATCAAGAGACAAATTATTATCATTTTTTTATGTGTGTGTTGTGGTTCAATAAAGGATAAAGGATAGCAGTATGTGACCTCAACTGTTCCAGATGGAGCTCTTGGTCGGGAGGAGGGAGCCATAACTGGCCGCAGGCTATTTAGAAAGGAGCTGCCTGCCCCCACGCAATGAGGAGCACACAGTCAGTTCATGCCGAGAAAATGTACGAGCCTGGCCTTCAAGCTGTTTACATTTAATTCTCCCCATTAACAATTGGCTTAACCATAGAAATGTGCTGCCATTAACCCCTATGAAATGACTTTGATTATGTGGCATAGGCAAAAGAAAAAGAGGAGAAAGAACCCAGACCAAGTCATTTGTGGTGTAGAGGTTTCTCAAGGACCACCAGAGGCTTCAGTGTTGGTGGCCTCATCATCCGCTTGTAAAGCTTGTTGTCATTGTTGCGATGTAAATAAGCCTCGTGGAACTTTACTGGGACATGGGAGGCTATTTGCATGTTGTTCTGGTAGATCTCATGTGATCAACTTCCAACAAGTGCAGAGCCCGGCACTCTTATTACAAGAGAGTCACAGGATCAGCTAACAGCCACAGCTAAATCTCAGTTAATCGATTCATATTTTCATCCACACTACGTCAGGAAATGGTATTTCTGCTTAAACATGACTTATTATTGATTATTTCCAACATAACTGGCAGTAATTTTCTGACAATAAACTACTAATTTAAAATCTGTATTTAAGTATTCTCACAGGACAATCAAACGTATTGTTAGCCTGGACTTACCACTGAAATGTCATTCTTTCATTTTTTAGATTACCTGTTTGCTGTCAGTTTAGGTTGGTGTACACAAGTGACAGTCTTGTTAATTTACATAGAAAGAGATCTCAAGATCTATAGAGATCTTCTTCATAAAAGTGATTTTGCTTTGAAACTAGTTGTCAGTATCAGACGTTTGACGAAAGTTAAGATGAGTGTCCTAAAAAGTGGAGCAACTAAAACGTAAGTCTACATAAAAACGTGATTTACTTTCCTATTTGAGTATTTCTATGAACTTAAAATTGAGAATGTCACTCTCTCTCCAAGATTTTTAAGTGTTACATTCATTGTAATCGGCACAATGGAAGTGAATCCAGAGAAGGTACATGTTCTCTACTTTATTATCAGTTTACTTGACCCCCCAAAGTGCAGTTTTGTGAACTGTTCTGACATCTAGCAGCAGTAAAACTTTACTGCTGATGTTCTTACTGCATTGCAGTCTTAACATAAATCCATGAGTTTTTTTATTTTTTATTTTGTGCTGCAGCAAAACCTTCGATTTAGTTTGTACTCCAAAGCTTGTTACAAAACTCGTGTGTACCTTTGACTGTCACCCAGTGAGCGCTGTAGCAGTCACGCTGAGGCTGAAAGAGCAAAGATTACAAGGGTAATGTAATTTGCCTTGCAAACATCCAGCAGATTGTCAGGGAAACTTTCGCTTGATTAACATTTCTACATGAAGTACATCAGCTTGATCAAAATGCCTTCAGACATTTCAGGAGAGGCTTTAATATCGTGATGGAAAACATTTGATATCCTTGGTAATTCTGCCTATTCAGAAGTCTTATCAGTTTTGGCATCACTGTGTGGCAGACATGAAAGTGATAGTGGTTGAGATAGTCTGATGGACTAATATGGAAACTTGGTGAATTATATTTTCCTGTCAAAGGCTATCTGGATGTAGGAGGACCTGACAAACAAAAGCAGTAATAAAAGCAGGTTTGGCAGAGATGCCAGCTGCCCCGTTGTGTGGGGATAAGGTGTTAATAGTCCACTCTAATGTTGGGAGCATTGCTCACATCTCACTCTGGATACTGTGGTCTTTTTATAGTCTCTGTACTGTCAGCAGGCCCTCTGCAACGGTCTGATTTGATTTCTTTGAAGTGAGGCAGTGATTTCCTATTGTGGCTATGTGAGATGTCCTCAGCTTTCCCCGCTGGAGTGTACTGGAGTGCTCTCTCCGTTTCATCCAGGCCAGTTCTGCGTTGTCATCATCATCCATCCTAAATCCTTAAGTTTCTTCTTTTGGGAGGGGGGGCGGGGGTTGTCTTCTGGTCTCATAAGCTCTCCTCCTATCTCTTTTGGTCCCTCCCATCCCTTGTTTTTAGGTTTTCTGAAGAAGTCACAGGGAGGTGTTGTCAGATGGTAGCTGTTGTTGAAAAGGAGTTATCATGGCTTATGACACTAATCTGTTTCTGTGTCTCTTCTCTCTTGTTTCTCTTGCAGGTGAAGGACCGTGCAGACAGACTGTCTCACACTAAGCTATGGAATGCTCCCTGCACCCACCATCACTAGTCTCCAATCTTTGGACTGAGCTCCAAACGCTTAGTTAGCGGCTGTGCTTCTCCCCTCGAACTCTTTATAACCAGGGGACGAAGAAAAGGAGCGGCCTTATCAAGTCCTCCGCTAAAAACGCACAGAGCACTTCTTTTAGTTTTTTTTAGAATATTTAAGCTAGTTTTTCTCCGCTTGGATTTTTTGTCTGGTGAAATTACATCAAGATGGATCTGGAACCGTACCTATGGATGGTCATTATTGGCTTCATCATTGCCTTCATATTGGCCTTTTCAGTCGGCGCCAATGATGTGGCCAATTCTTTCGGAACAGCAGTGGGGTCCGGTGTGGTCACACTGAAGCAGGCCTGTATCCTGGCATCTATCTTTGAGACGCTGGGCTCAATGCTACTAGGGGCCAAAGTGGGTGAGACGATCCGAAAGGGCATCATAGATGTCAACCTGTACAATGAAACGGTGCCCGTGCTCATGGCAGGGGAGGTCAGCGCTATGGTCGGTAAGTTGTGCTGAATTTTCAGTTTACTATTTTGGCGATTGATTAATCATTTTAGTCTTTTTTTTTCAAGCAAAATCTTGAGATATCAGCTTCACAAGGAGGATTTGCTGCTCTTGTTTGTCATATATGGCAGTAAATTTGAATATGTTTAGATGTTTAGAATTTGAAGATGTGGGAAATCATATTTTTTCACAGTTTTACACAAATTAAAAATACAGTGGATGGATTATTAATGATATAGGTAAAGTTAGATAGATACTAGATAAGTTGATTGCAGCACTAATACAGTGAGTCACATAAGAGACCCTAAATCTCTAACTTATAACCACATGACTGTGGATGAGAGACAGGATTGCAGGGGGTCATAGATGGATATTAGTACTGAAACAACAAGTAGTAAAAAAGTTCCTACAGCTCAAGGTGACCTATTCTAGTTGTTAGTTTTTCAAAAACAGAATAAAACATAATAATAATAATAAAAAATAAAATCCTCACATTTACAAAGCTAGAATAATTTAGCTCTTGTAAGTATTTCTACTTGTAGATACATTTATATCCGTTATCGTGCTGCAAACACTGCCGTTCCCTCTGCTATTCACGTTTAACAGTACACACGTTTGTTTATGTAAATGTTAAACTCTCCACCTCCACACCTCCTGTGCAACTGTACTTCAACTTGAGTCACTTTTTTTTGTCATATCCTGACCTGTGGGCAGACACAATAGCATGTCAGATTATTCCAATACATGTAACATTCACACATTGTCCCATACTCGTCTACCTTACAAACAGCTCTGAAATGCTCCGAGCTGCTGTGATCAGAGTCCATGCTGCAGCCGAATATCCATAGGATACATACATACATACACCAGGAGAGAGGCATCGCTCATCTTCATTACATGTTTGAGGTTTTCCCAAAATAAAAAAAGCTTCTCCAACTGTTCATCTACCCAGTTTGTGACTCCCTGTTTTTCTTCTTGCTCGCAAACCAAAAGTAAATTACTAAATCCCATAACTCTTGCAGAGTTGTTTTTGTACTTTAGTTGGTAAAAGTTCAGTTGTTCATCTGAATAACATCTGCACTTGTTTTGCAAACCACTTGGATTTATGAGAGATGTTATAAAATTTGTTTTGTCCTTGTCAAAGCAACTCTCAGACATACAATGTGAAAAACGTTTAATCTATTTCCAGATGAACCTCATGATCAAATTTTTTTGTAATGTTAACTAACATTTGTCAAAGTCTCCCGAGCTGCTTCACAGAGGAGACCTGCGCTTGCATTAAAACACATGAAGCAGGAATCGTTGATTATCAACAGTAGCTTCACTCATGAGCATTAGATTACCGCAGTAAATGCATGGTGCAGAACAGAAAACAATGGGGCTCCCGTTGAGACAATGCCATTTTAATGACAGAGTGACTGCTGGGAAACTGTGATAAATAAGGCGATATTACGCACAGGGGATTCCCGTGTCGCTGGAACACTCAACATTTGTTAAACATCAAACAGGAAATGTTTTTTACTGGCATATTGTTTATACAGACTTTTTTACATTTGATTTGATAAGATAAAAGCAGGAAAATACTACTATTGACAGAAATGACACAGTTTAGAATATGAAAATAACCTCCAAGCTTGACAATAAGTATCAGATGCCCAAAAATAACAAAGTACATTTACCTCCGGGAACAGATTGTGTTAACAGACGCTGTGGGATTTTCGTCTCGATAAATGAAGCATTGTCTACAGAGTCACCTTTTCATCAAAGATATATAATCCCATATGTTCTAGTATAATATCTAACATCTCTTTATGGTGATGTTTATACTATATACTAACTATGTTTGTACTATACCTGTAAAGGTATTTTCTTTAACTTATACTATGTGGTCGTAGGGAATAATGTGTCTGCGGTTTTCATATTAGAGTGAAACTTAAAATACAGGTTAATTTGTCCCAACCTTTACACACAACCCAAACCTTAAGCAAAAAGGCTTCAGTACAGTAAAGTTAACAACAAACAGTAGCATAACTCCCTATTTGAGCACAAACATTGTGGTATTGTTTTCTCTAGTTCACAGTTTGTACTTTCCTTTGTTCCAGAACTACATTTCTGATGGAAAACAGTTGCTAATAAAATATGAACAATGTCTGAGATCTGTGTGGTGTTTTGTTTTTTTTTATTCACAGGCTCAGCAGTCTGGCAGCTAATCGCCTCCTTCCTCAAACTGCCTGTCTCTGGGACTCACTGCATTGTTGGTGCCACCATCGGCTTCTCCATGGTGGCCATCGGCACCAGGGGAGTACAGTGGATGCAGCTCGTCAAGATTGGTAATGGCTCGGGCTCTGTGAGACCTATATGCTTACTGTATATCGTCATGCCTGCTACAGTGTTTCCATACAGCACACAGTTTTTACATACAATTACTCATACTCACAAAAGTGCAGCTTTTCTATTGAAAACTAATATCAATTAAAAATCACCACACTGAGATATTTCCAGTACAGCTACAGTGGACGACTCCCTTGACCATTTTACACACATCTGTTTTAGAAGAGGCAGAGTTATAGATTTCTCCACCATTGGGAGTCTCAATAGACCTGCATGCAATGCAGCCACAAGACATTCTTTAAAGTAAAACACTAGCTTTATCTCAGATGCATGTATAAACCACAGCTCAATTTAAAAAGTTAATGACTGTTCCTTAAGGGTTGGAAGTCATTCTGGGACAGCGGTGGAAAGTAAGCAAGTACGTTTACGCAAGCACTATTCTTAACTACTTATATTTTTGTACTTTTACTTAAACATTGGAACATTTGAAAGCAGCACTTGTACTTGTAACCAAGTATTTCTACTCTGTGGTAATCATCTTTTTTAGTACAAAATCTGAGTACCACTGTTCTGGGAAGTGTAGGAAATGACTAGTGAAGAACAGATGCTAAGCCGGGAACAAAAAGACATTTGCCACTATGTGATTTAGTGTGTAAGCAAGTGTGTTGCTGTTCTTTTCTGATGACATGTTCTCCTCCCTCTCTAGTGTCATCGTGGTTCATCTCCCCCTTGCTCTCTGGACTCATGTCTGGACTCCTCTTCATGCTTATCAGACACTTCATCCTCATCAAGGTGTGACCACATTGCTAAGCACAAACACAAATCAACACAACCCCTCCGTTACAGGTCATATTTCTAGTTCAGTATCTAACTGAATAATATATGTAGAATTTAACCTCTATAAACATTTAGGCTATAAGCTTTAATGTACAATATGTAATTCCTACCACTAGGGGGTGTTTCACATCAAAACCGTAACAAAAGACAAAGTTTGTTGACATCGTGAAGAAGCGTGGGATCATGGGAGTTGTCTTTTTACACCACCATTGCCGTCATTGCAGTCAGCTTCTCCTGGTTAGGATTCCTTCAGTGTTAATCATTCAGGAGGTTTCTACTGGGAGCCAAATTATCAGCAGAGGTCCTCTTCTCCAAAAGAAATGATAAGCTGTTTCAGCTTATAAATCGGTGTTTCTCTGACACTGTTCACAAACAATGGTCATCCTCGAGGCCTTGCAAGCTAAGATGCTGCTAATGTATGCTCAGCTTGTTTCTCTTAGGATCCAGACGTCAAATGACTAAAATCCTTCCTCTGGTTAAAATATATAGTTTGTATTGTAAAAATGTTGCTGTAAACTGGATAAAAAGTAATTATATGACCACTTCTGGCAGATGAGGATGCAGACACACGTGCAAAGGGGATATGACTGCATTGACAGGCAACCAGTGAAACACATCGATATATATTGTTGGAAACATGTTGGTACACAACTCAAACATCAAAATATATAACATAGGTGTAGTGTTTATAGACATTTTAGTGTGGAAATGTAACATAAATAACTTAAAAATGAGGACTCTGGAATACTGACCATGAAAAATTATGTTATATGACTTTTCCAGGTCCAGGAGTTTAAAACACCAGAAAGTATACACAGACATACATGTAGACACACATACCTGTCCATAGAACTTCAGCACAGATAAAATCCATTTGATTTGTCAACATTTGCTGATCTTCTGTTATGTAACTGGCAATCTCTGGCAGACCAGGAAGAGAGGTCACGACTGCGGAATTATGTATGAATGAGTCATAGGACGATTTGTCATTTGGACTAGAGTTGTTGTGTAGCTGGGTCAAATTCGGGTGAGTTCATTTCTGTCTCTACAGGCTATTTGCATCAGTTAAGTCAGAATATTTAAGCTTTCTATTACATCTATGCTGTGTTTTCTAAACTGCACATGCAAGACAATGGGTTTAGTTTGTAGATGTGAGACTTTTACCTTAGTACGTTGGGTCATACTGCGTATCAAACTCTTCATAAACCACACATTGTGCAAAAGTGAATTGTTGTATATCTAGTTTCACTATTTCCACACCTTTGAATCGACCTGACCTGAATGTCTGACCTCAGAAGGAAGTTGTGGTTTTATTTGATGTCAGCATGTGAAACTGTATGTTAAGAATTGTCACCACAACAAAAACGCATACAGTAAACATTGCAAACACCCGTTAACACTTGATATTCATACATCATTTTGATCATTTTCTCGGACACAAGAAGTGACTGTAAAGACAAATCTAACTTGTGTACATCGCAACCTAATGTGCACTTCTATATTTAAAGCTTGCCTTGCCCACAGTGATGTATAGTTAGTGAGAAGTGAACTTCTCATCTTCCTGAGGGACACGTTGACATGATGAAGAGCTGCGAATAATTGCAGCTTGGTCATTACATAGGAAATTAAACAGGAGGGACGCAGGTTTAATAAATGGAAAGATAAGAAAATCTAAAAATAATAAAGCCTTAAGTAGAATATATGTAGTCAGTATCAATACAAGTATTTCCCAATACTGATAGGGATGCACGTAATGATGAGTTTCATTATTGACTAATCTTTCAAATTACAGGAAGAGCTTGAGGTGACATCTTCAAATTACTTGTTTTATCTAACCATCAGTCTAAAACCCAAAGATATTTCATCTATTAGTATATATGACAAAAAAATAGAGAATTTAAGTAAAAAAAAAGTTTTATTTGAAATTTCACTGAAATTATCTAAATAGTTGCAGTTATTCAGTTTTTTTAATTACAGATTTGCTTTGAACCATTACATTTTACTAATAGTTGATAAACATGCATGTCTTTTTAGGTAGCATTAAGGAAACTACAATTTGAATTTCATTCTACAACACTGGATTGACTATTAAATAACCTTGAATCCTTAAATATGAGAAACTACTTAAAATCTGTATGTGTGTTTTTTCCACATAGGACGACTCTGTTCCCAACGGCTTGCGAGCGCTCCCCCTCTTCTACGCCTCCACAATTGGGATCAACACATTCTCCATCATGTACACTGGAGCTCCATGTAAGTGCTTATTCCTAATAGAGATGTTGTATCTGTTTATTTAGTCTGACACCAACATATGATCAAATTATCATCTCAGTCTTAACGGGTGATGGCGCCAGTATCGTTTGCTTGCTCAAAATTCCATTTGATGGTGTGACTAGAGTATGACTAAATTGTAATGCTTTGAAACTACTTGCAAAGTGTTGTTTTCTTATACTTGTGTGTGTTCATTAATTGCAGTGCTTGGGTTAGAGATGCTACCGGTGTGGGCCATCTTTCTCATTACTTTAGCTGAGTCGCTGATCTGTGCAGGCGTGGTGTGGATATTCGTCTGTCCCTGGATGAGGAGGAAAATAGCAAGTGGGTATCTGTGTGTGTGTCTGTGTGTGTGTGTCTAGTCTTTCTCACGCCATCTGAAAGCCAAGCACTCTGACCCAGGCCCAACACAACAGCGCCGCAGCCTCTGCTTGCACACTCTGTGCTCTGACGTTAAACGAGATGCCAGCGGATGTGCTTCCTCGTTGGCCTCTGCCAGAGGCACTAAAGCCACCAAAAACCCTGTGAACTCTGTGTGGTATTCCATTTGCGTTGCTTAGACACTTCTTAGGCGTGTAGCTGCTTGGCCACATGCAAGGGGTTAAGTTCATAGCCTGCAGTCCAGAAAGCTTTCAGATCAAGGTTAGGGATTGTTTCCCTAATGGGAAAATAAGCCTGCAGCAAAGCAGACAACGCCATAAAACACATGACACATTAAATAAAACAGTGGAAAGAGCAGTAGGTGGAATAACTGAAGGAGTGGTGGACATAAGCAAGGCAGCCAGTCTGTTCAATTCAACCTAATGTCATGCAGGATATACAGACTCAAACTGTTAAGCCACAAGTCTTAGAGGCCAGTAATATTTCCAAACTGATAGACCAGATAAATGCTTTGTATCGATATGAACAAAAAAATTAAGGTTGACATGAAACAGAATAAGGGGTGCTGTTACTGAAGGGATAACATCCACGTTTTGGCTTAAAATAGAACAATTATTTTCTCGAACTTTCCATTGACCACGCATACGAGTGAGGCCAACTTCACCCATTGCTTAACGTGTCTTGACCTCTGAATTCCTGTGAGGATTATAGGTGATATTATCGGTCCTAATCTGGATATTACTGCATCCGTCAAAATGAAATGGGCAATGGCTGAGTTTATGTGTTTGTACTGAGGGTTGTTTTGAGGAGTAGGAGGGCAACAAGTCTATCAGCACCGGGATTAGGATCAGCTGATGGCTATACTTGTGTTTGTGGAATGTTGCTGCATAGTTTTCTCTTTTTCTAACCTGAAACCAGGCATTTTCTGACTGATTATTATTAATATTATTGCAGAGTAACAATACAGTTTTTTAAAAAAATGCATTAAAAAATGTATATTAAAAAAAAGATATGTGTGCCAAAATTAGTGACTTCACATGTGAAACTCATGTCCTGATTTCATCAGCTTGCCCTAATTGGAAATCATCCAGATAATATTTGATTGTTTTGTTGTTCTGTAAATGATCCCTCAGACATATTAGAATATAAACCCAACATATAAATACAGGTGTTCTCCTCATTATTGGTATACACGGCCCTGTAAACACTGTGTTAGCATTGTTAAGAGGATTTAAATGTTTAAGTGGTGATATTTTGTCACTCCAGGATGCACTCTTCACTAAACCTTGCACTGCTTGATCTCCTCCAGGTCGTCTAAAGAAGGAGCAGGCTCTGTCCCGGATCTCTGATGAGAGCCTGGACAAGATACCAGAGGAGGAGGAAGAGAGCCCCGTCTTTAAGGAGCTACCAGGGGCCAAGGGCACAGATGAGGCTGTGTTGCCGCTCACTGGGGGCAGCAGTGAACGGGGCACCCGCGACTCCAGTGGAGAGCTCACCAACCTGGCTAATGGAGGCACGGTCCTGCCAAATGGCAGGGTGTATGGTAATACTGGAATATTATTTTTAATTTGAGATGTGCCGGTTGATCACTATATCTGTTCTTGACTGGAAACTGTGTTCACTGTGTAATCATTGTGGATGAGGAGAGTAACTGTATATCTGTTGCTGCTTAATATGACTTTTATAACTTGGGCTTATCAAAACTATAACATTAATGGTAAATGAAGTATTGAACATGAACATGAGTTGGTAGAAATTTTTTCTTACTGCCATCCTGCCTTCATCAAGCTTTATGTTTATGGTTTGACAATTGATCAATTATTTTTAAGATTTATTATTTTATAATTAAGTTTACATGAAGAATATAAGTTAGAATGAATATAAAACCTACCTACAAGACAATATTATAACAATAAAATATATATTTTTACAGTGACTACAATAATTGTTAATCCATCAGTGGGTAAAAAAGATGGTGTCTCAATTTTTCATTGCAAATGAGTATATTGCATACTTTTTCAGCTTCATTTTTCAAAAGACAATATGGCAAACAAATTACAAAAAATTTAATTAACAGGGCTTAGAGTGCCCTATTTGGAAATCGCCTTCTCTCTTTAATAAATTTACCATATGTAAATGTATATTCAAGGAGAAACTGTAAATGTGCTGCTATTAGATACTACTTGGCTACTGTGTTGATCTTCATGAACTTTGTGCACCACTTCTTCATCGTCTCTCCTTCAGGCCGGACCCACTCAATGACCAACGGCTGCCTCAAGTCACCCATCTCCAACGGCAGCTTCAGCTTCGATGGCCACATGCGCAGCGATGGCCAGGTCTACCACACTGTGCACAAGGACTCAGGTCTGTATAAAGATCTGCTTCACAAAATCCACCTGGGCCGCATGGATGACAGCGACCGCTCGGGCTCCAACGCCGGCCCAGCTGACAACAATTACCGCTTGCTGCGCCGCAACAACAGCTACACCTGCTACACAGCTGCTATATGCGGCATGCCCGTCCAGCCGCTCATCCGTACGGAGTCACGCGAAGACAGTGAAAAGTTGGTGGGAGAGGGAGGCGGCAGGAGCAACAGCGTGTCCTACTCCAAGAAGAGGGTACGCTACGATAGCTACTCATCGTACTGTAACGCTGTGGCGGAGGCTGAGATCGAGGCAGAGGAGGGTGGGGTGGAGATGAAGCTAGCCACAGAGCTGGAGGGGGTGGAGGAAGAGGGGGCTCCAGCTCCGGTTCCTCTGGACGACTTGGCCGAGGAGGATAACGAGGAGAAAGATAAGCCTGAGGTGTACCTGCTTTTCCACTTCCTGCAGATCCTGACCGCCTGCTTCGGCTCCTTTGCCCATGGAGGAAACGATGTCAGGTGCTGCCTCCTGCTGCTTAGAAGACATACAACATCCTATCTAGCCAAAAATCGGTCAAATTACATTTCCCTTGTATCTGATCATATATTTTATTTTACCTGATGCTTTTTGCCTTTTTCATACAAGTAATGTTTCACAGACAACAACAGCAACAACAAATAGAGGAATCATCTGTATTCTGCTGCTTTGATGTCATTTTGTCCTTGATGTTCAGTCTAGCATAAATTCTATATTTCATATTCTCATCTTTGCAGTAATGCCATCGGGCCCCTAGTGGCACTGTGGATGATCTACGACCAGGGCGGTGTCATGCAGGACGCCGCCACTCCCGTCTGGCTGCTGTTTTACGGTGGTATAGGCATCTGTGCCGGCCTGTGGGTGTGGGGCCGCCGCGTCATCCAGACCATGGGGAAAGACCTGACTCCCATCACCCCCTCAAGGTGAGAAAGCCACCGTATGGGAGAGTGGGGGGAAGGGTGTGTGTATGTGTGTATTTATGTGTGTGTGCATGCATGTGTGCGTGCGTCTGTATATGTGGAAATGGTTGAGAAAGAAAAAGAGTGAGAGAGAGAGAGAGAGAGAGAGATTCCAACATGTCTCCAAAAAGCCAAGACATAAACGAGTCCATCGGGTGCAACATCTTCCTTGGTAAGTTTTTATGTGCACACAGTTGTATTACACACACAATGTATTTAATATGGCTGTTATTAAAGACGCAAATTAGCTGACAGGAAAATGTATAAACCTAAAGCAGCACAATCGTGGTTAGAGTGCCTGCTCTGTTTCAGCTGCTCCCTGTTCACAGGTACAGTAAACTAATGACTAATGATGGGTTTTTCTCTCGAGCATGCACTGATTAACCACTCTCTACTTCCCAAACAGAGCTGCCGCTGCAGGCGCACACACATTTTAACAACACAAGCAACCTGCAAGTACAATGTTGTATTTGCCCTTTCTCTGTTGGTTGCATCTGTAAACGCATATATGTGAATGATATTAATATTTCTCATCAAGAGGGCAGACTGATTTCATCACTTTAATGTAAAGATATATTTGAATACATTTATTTTAGATACAGTACAATATAAAAGTTAAAGGATATTTTCTGTCCCCTTTTAAAAGATGTGTAAACTATTTGAGGATAAATATATAATTATCTCTATATTGCATAATGCAATTACACATTTTGACTTTGCTAGACCTAATTCTTTACTCCTTTGGAACATGTTCAAGTAGAAATCATACATAATTTTTCTTCTGCCCTCTGACTGATTACATAATAATTATGAATAAGTACGTAGTCTTTTGGACAACAACATATAAAGCCCCTGGGCTCACTCCGTCTCACAATGTAAACAGTGGACATCACGCATCCTTATCCACCGACTGCTGCTGCTCTGTCCTTGAGATCAATCTCTTGCTCTTTCTTCTGTCCTCTCATCCTCCCACACAAACTGTGTGTGTGTGTGTGTGTGTGTGTGTGTGTGTGTGTGTGTGTGTGTGTGTGTGTGTGTGTGTGTGTGTGTGTGTGTGTGTGTGTGTGTGTGTGTGTGTGTGTGTTGGCGTGCGCGCGTGCATACCTCAAGGATGTTTGTGTGTATCGTGTCAGCTTGAAGAAGCCAGGCTGAATGCCTGCAGGTCGTTGTGCAGTGAATGTACTGTATGTGTGCACGCATACATATTAAGGTCTATAAGACAGAGAGAGAGAGTGTGTGTGTGTATGTGTGTGTATACTCTGTTGCCTGGCAGGAACATCACACAGGGTTTCAGGAAGTTGTTTGGCATTCTGGATGAAGAGAAGTAGAGCAGGAAGAGTGAGGGAGGGGCAAAGCCACAGTGGGAACCCTGGCCTCTCTTCTCCAACCACAGGGAGGGACGCCAGCCTGACTCCTTCTCTGCTCTTTTCTTTTTCCCCTCTGTCCTCCTTGTTTTCATAGTCTTTCTGCCCTCTCCTTTGAATCCTTGTTTTTGCAGTTAACCCTGTACTTCCTCTTCTTCATTCCTTCTAAACTTTTTCATTCCTTCTAAACTTTTTCATTCCTTCCGAATCTCCTCACTGCATCTATTCATCTTTTTTTTTTTTATTGGCATCTCACCTCTAACTTTTAAGTCCCGCAATTGTTCTCACGCTCACATCATCTAATTATTTTTCCCTCTCTCTCGATTTTGGCCCCTCTCTCTATCTCTGTGCCTTCTTTCTTTCTCTTTAATCTCCCTCTTCCATCACCAGCTTAGTTTTTCGCCAGGACTCAAAAGACAAATTAGCTCTGGTTCACTGTTCCAAAGGCACTCTTTCCTCCAGTGTCTGTTTCCATGCATCAACCTGACAAAGAAGTTTGTTTGGGGCAAGGGCAGGAAAGTGTGTGTGTAGGTGCAGTTGTGTGTCTGTAGTTGGTGGCTGAGCATATGTTTGAGGAGGCAAAGGGAACACTTGAACAAAAATATGTCCTGTCTCCAGAAAGACTGTCTGCTCTGCCATTCCTGATGAATGGGTCATTTTTCACAGAGGACATTTTCACTTGTCACAGTAGGAAAAGCACACATATAAATAATAAAATTAACAATGGCTGAGTTCCATTTATCTGCTTCAGTTTCAGCGTTCTGGTAATGTACCTGCTGGCTCACTGTCACACTGTAATGACTTACTGACACCTGAAGAGAACAAAGACATTATTAATGTTATTAGTAAACTTGTGCTTTTTATTACAAGTTAAAATGTCTACTGTGAAACAACCTATTGTAAATCTCAGTTAAACGCAGAACAGGTATCACAGCTCTGTAGAATTTAGATGATGAGTGCATCAATGAATACTTTTTGAGAGAGAGAGAGAGAGAAGGCTAACTGCCCTCTCTCAGACACACTCTGACCAGCCTCACAACAACGCTGCTCTACAAACATTGGGAAGAAACAACTAAAAGCCAAAGTAGATTGGAATGTTATCTTGCCCTTAAAAGAGATGATTAAGTAGCAGAATATCTCTCTACTGTCAGAGATAGAAAGCAGAGACAGATCCTAACCAAGTACAGGCTCAGTGACCACAAACTGGCAATCGAAACAGGAAGACACAAAAATCACACTGTATATAACTAATATAATATTCATGATGTATATATCTTTGATTTATTGTATTGTATTTGAATGCTTTGCTTTGGCAATATTGTTTCTTTAAAAACTTTCATGCCAATAAAGCCCATTTTGAATTTGAATTTGAATTTGAGAGAGAGAGAGAGAGAGAGAGAGAGAGAGAGAGAGAGAGAGAGAGAGAGAGAGAGAGAGAGAGAGAGAGATGCATGGTCAGTGTCTTAAACCCCTAGGCCACCAGGAGATCCCACCTATGCAGACTTTCTGCACACACAGTTTAAGCGAGCACCAATTTCAAGTTATATTCAAATGATTAGAGCACTGCTGTGAAATAGATTGGTGCTTGCTCTTTATGAGCGCCACAGTGGCGTCTGGAGTGACATTTTGCAGATTTGACCAATTAAATTTCAACAGTGTCTGCCCCCAGAGCTTTACCTCTTTGAGAGTTTTATTGGCTGTTTTTCTTTTTTTTTATTACATAACTGCAATGAAAGGAGTAACAGCTAATGATTCAGCTTCAAGTTGCTTTCTCATTCGTCCAGTTTCTCTTCATATTTCTCTCTTATATGTCTCTTATCCTGTTTTTATTATTTAATTACAATCCCCAGTTTTCCATCTCGAGCCAAAATATTTTTTTTTTAACGATTTTCCTTTCCTGTGTGCCAACTGGTCTGGTGTCAGTGTGAATGATGTTCTGGAAACAGGACATGGCTTCAGATGAAGTGTCTCCTAGTCCGCACGAGGCAGCAAACTCACACACTCAAAGCTATGTCTGTGTACCACATATAGCTCTACTCTTTATTAAGAATTACCTTCCAAAACCCAGGACCTGATAGAAATGTGGTCTTTAGTGTGTGTGTGTGTGTGTGTGTGTGTGTGTGTGTGTGTGTGTGTGTGTGTGTGTGTGTGTGTGTGTGTGTGTGTGTGTGTGTGTGTGTGTGTGTGTGTGTGTGTGTGTGTGTGTGTGTGTGTGTGTGTTGAGCATACTTTTAAGATCTGCTGAATGTTCTGTTGTGGTTACTGTGGATGCTGGAATATGGTGTGAGCTCACCTTACCAGCAGCACGTCCCAGACAGTACAATGAAGGATGTCTCTTTGCTTCCCCCTCTCCTCTCCCCTTCCTCCTCCACAGTGGATTCACTATTGAACTGGCTTCTGCACTCACAGTCGTGTTGGCTTCCAATATCGGAATCCCTGTCAGTACCACACACTGCAAGGTATGACTGAGCGGCCCCTCCAGCTGGCCTCTCATCTCCCCTACAGGCATTTCCAGGGGACAGGGAGCTCACACTGTCTCCCAGGGCACCGGACTGGAAATAAACTCACCACTTTACTCCAAATCAGCCTTGCAATCAGATACTTTAAGTGGATTTTCCACATTTTTATGTTCATATTTTTGCCAGACAATCTCTTTTTCCTGGTTGTGTTTGGAAGGATGCTCTGATGAATAAATAAATACATTTAAATAGAGAGAGCAAAGTTTAGATTCTTGTGGCAGAAACTTGGGTCTTATTTATTATTATTTCTCTCAGTTATAACACTGTACAAGCTAAAGTAATTGCTGAAGTCTGATGGCAAGAAACAACAGCAGCCTAATGATCAGTAAGGTTGTTAAACTAGCAAGGAGTCATTTCCAATGAAACATGCCCCCTTACCTTTCAAAATGCTAGTTTTACAATTTCCACTCTGAATTCTCTCTAAACTATGTCCTTTGATTGTCCAGCTGCTAAAATACAGAACAGATAGTCTAGTCTGGTTAAAACTGTTGATACACTCATCTGAGCCGCCATTAATTTTTACTGTGCGGTCACAGCAGTAGACTTTACGAGCAGCAGGGATTGATTTGGGGAGTTTTTTAACCTGGTTTCACCTCCCAGGCAACATGCATTTTGTCCTACCTTATTGCTGTGGGATGCAAGATTTGCAGGGACTACTCAGGGCTCAAATAGCACCTCTTGGGCTTATAATTTGAATTATTTTAATCTGTCCTTTTTATTTACAGTTATTAATATTATTATATTCTCTAAAAACCTGCTCTAATATAAAATCAAAGATCAAGGGCCGGAAAGGACGCTTGCCTGTAGTTAAGCTGGAACATCTATTATATCATTATCTATCAGAAAGTATCTAGTCTCTATTGTAGAATTTACTTGTGCAGTAACTGTTGTTTGAGTAACCTCTGACTTTTTCCAGATATTAGTAATTACCTTTGTGTAATTAACTGTTTGGATTGTTTGCCAAAACTATGAATATAAAACCCAAATTGTAAAGAACCAGAATTGCCCTTTAATTACCTGCATCTGACCCCACTGAGCTTTTAACTGCATTAAAAGACAAACAATTCGAGACATGTCCAGCCCCAGGCAGCTGTGTGCAGCCCCTCTCCCCTGTTCTTTTCAGGAACGTCGGATCCAGGCTGGAAGAAGTAGGAACACCTCCAGCCCCAACCATGTCCCATCATGATGTTTCATCCTGTTTCATTCCCACCAACTCTCTTTTCAGCACTGGCATGGTTTGGTGTGTGGATCCTCCACCCTCCTGTGCTTGACTGCAAGCAGACCCCCCCCAACCCCACTCTTCCACCCCACCACCAGCCTCCTCCCCCCGACCCCACCTGTCATACTTGTTTTCCACTTTTTTACCTCCCTCTCCATCTTTCTCTGTGTCTCTCCACTCATCTGTCTTCACAGCGGATTTTGCATTGAAGTAATGAGTGCGCTAACAGTGCTTGTTGCATCAAATGTGGGCATCCCAATAAGCTCCACCCACTGCAAGGTATTGGAGTCATTGGTGGTGAGGCCGTGTTAGCGAGCCCTCTCTGGGCTCCACTTCATCGCTTCACCTGTAGCTGTCAATCGCCAAAGCCAATCACAACTCCTAAAGTTGCTGTTTTGACCTCTCCTGCAGTTTTCCTCCGGCAGAAAACCCCAATTTTGGATTAAAGGAGACCTTTATACAACAAATCAGATGAAATTCGATGCACGCTTATTAGATATAAAGCATTATATCACAAGTGTATAGCTATTGATCTGTACTTTTTTAAATCAAAGAGACTCTTTTAGCAAGATTTTGATCTACTTGTTCACATTCTCATTTGTTAATTAGATGAGAAGTACTATTATTATTATAGAATTATTATTATAGAAGTATCACATTGTTCTGTAGTCAGATAAAATTCAAACTTGAATTTAACAAAGATATTTTAAAGGAATAGTTTTGAGATTTTGGGAGTGTTAGATCAAAAGATTGGTACCACTCTTACATCTGACTGTTAAATATAAAATTGTAGCAAGGAACCGGTTAACATAGCATAGCACTTAGTCTGGAATCAGGGGAACGGCTAGCTACTTGTTACATCTGGTTTGTTTAATCCATACAGAAACTGATTTCTACTCGAGGAAGTCACTGCTCCCAGCCAAGAAATAGTGCAGCACGTAATGTAAAACTCATTCAACAACATTTCTATTGAGTAAACAAACGAGATATAACACCATTTATTAGTGGGCTTCAGAGGTGCTGGTAGGGAAGCAGTTTCCCCATTTACAGGTCTTTATGCTAAGCTAAGCTAACTGGCTTTACTAGCTGGTTTTACCTTCAAATTGGTAGCCTATATTAGGGATGAAGTTCAATGTAACATGCATCTTATTGACAATGTTGGATCAAAACAAGTGATAAGATTTTACTGCATAAGAACTGCATCTATAAAGACCTAAATGTATGTTTATGATGTAGATGAATACTAAATTTTGCTGAAGGGAAACTGCACAAGACTCAAAACTGGTATTTAATTGCTGATGATAAATTTGTCTAAACATCAACATTGCCATCTATACCTTACTTTCATTTCTCACCTCCAAATACCCTTCTCTCTTCCCTAAAACCTCCCATAATCAACTGTTATGCCAAATGCTAAACCTACTGATAGTTAGAGGTATATAATTGTGGTGGTGATTTGATTGATTAAATGGTTGTGTGCAGGGGAGCCACAGATGTTTTTGGACAAAATCTGTATTTTAAAGATATTCATAATTTTTTTTTCTTTTTTCACGTTAAGACATTTTTCCTCAATTTAAGGTTAAAAGTTTTTAGACAGTAGCCAACAACATCTGTAAACATCTCCCTTACTGCTGAGAGAATTTGAGTGTGTTTGAGCAGTGATGGGCATCCATTCGGTTTGGTCTCAGTTCAGAGTGGTTATTTTCTTTACGTATTTGGCTTCTTTAAATGTGTGCAGATCAAACTGAACTAATGCCGAGCCCAGGTGTTTGGAGCGCTGTGGTGTGATTATGTACAATGACTCGTTTTCTCAAAAGCTCTACAGGCAGTCAGCAGCACAAACACTGGGGTCGCACTGAGTTCAGGCTTTACTGCTGCATGCCTAAAATACTACAATTGGCGGAAACAGACTTCTTGACCACACAGTTTAGATATTGTTCCACACAGACTGCTTTTAGACTAATGCTAATCCTCCAAAAGAAGGAGAATCTAATACTTTTGTTTAATTCAACAAAAGAAGTCGACCTACCTGGCTAACATCTCCTTCCCTGACAGTATTTTTGTGCAGTCAAGCTCTAGCGTAACTTTGATTCAGACTGACGTATCTCCTGCAAACACGGCTGGTCTCTGTTGACCTGACCTTCCACATTTAGTCGAGAGTGTGACAGAAGGAGTCTCATGTTTCTCTAGCCGTATAAGAGCAGGAACAGTTTTAAGGCCCGCCCACCTACACTGTCACAAACACAGCTGAAACCAGTCACTGCACATGCCACTCCAACACACTGGAGGTGTCTGGAACGTGTTCAAGTGTCTTCTTATTTAACTCTGTTCTGACTTGATTATTTGAATAAAGGTGAGAGAGTTCATTGGTGGAGAGGTCTGACATGAGCAGAAAGAATTACATCAGCTGAGAAAACTCGCCCAAAACTATCTTCTTGTTAGATTTAAAGGTCCAGTGTGTAACATTTAGGAGGCTCTGTTGGCAGAAGTGTAATATAATATTCATAGGTATGTTTTTATTATTATATAATCACCTGAAAATAGGAATCTTCATGTTTTGTTACCTTACAATTAACCTTTTATATCTAGAGGTCCGCCGCCATGTTTCTACAGCAGCCCAGAACAGACAAACTAAACATGATTTTTTTATGTTATCTGCACGTTTCGTTGCCCCCGTAGACTCTCCTTCGCTCTTGGAAGGTGAGGATGAAGCGGTGTGATCTGCAACTAAATTGTTACACGCCAATAAATCCTACACACTGGTCCTTTTTTAAAGCCCCAAAAAGATTTTTGTAACATCAGAACTGCTGATTTCAGACTTCCACAGCCAAAAATGAAATGCAGTAGTAACTTTTAAAATCGGCTTGCTCTAACTAACACAGATATTTTGGACTGAGCTGGTCCTGAAGAGCTGAAGGATGTGTACGGCTTTTCTGTTTGGAGGCCCGGATTTACCTGTGGGTCTTTTTCTATTATCAGTGGTGGAATACACCTAAGTACATTTACTCAAGTACTTTACTTAAATACAGTTCTGAGGTACTTGAACTTTAGTTAAACATTTCTATTTAATATTATTTTCTTATAATATTACTTTGCAAGATTTTACACGTTACAATACGTGGGGTAACTTTTAACTTTTTATACTTTTTTAGCACATTTGCTTATAATAATTCTGTGCTTTTACTTTAGTAGAATTTTCAGTGTAATGTAATAAATAATTTTTAAGTAAAGGATCTGAGTACTTCATCCACCTTTGACTATTATTGTGTTAAACCTATTGTATTGGCCTGTATTACAGTCTTCCAATGGCAATTTCATTCATCAGCAGTCAAGTCCACTAGAGCTAGATGGACAAATAGTAGCTAAACATACAGTAAATATAAGTAAGCAAGAAAACATCATAAGGAAAGCCTGAACAACCTGCAGCTCTTCAGTGTCTTTTGCATTGTGTTCTGTGCCGCTGCTGATTGTTTCCTTTCTCCCCTCCCTGGCCGCGGCCTCCAGGTGGGCTCAGTCGTGGCCGTGGGTTGGATCCGCTCCCAGAAAGCAGTGGACTGGCGGCTCTTCAGGAACATCTTCCTGGCGTGGTTCGTCACGGTCCCCGTGGCCGGCCTGTTCAGCGCTGCCGTCATGGCCCTATTCGTCTACGGCATCCTGCCCTACGTCTGAAGGGCACGTGGCTGGGAGGGAGAACAGAGGAAGATGAGATAGTCAGAGAGAGGGAGCGAGAGAGAGAGGAAACTTGGGTAGAAATCGTAGCATGAGTGTCGGGGGGGGGATGAAGGAAATGAAGAGAGGGGAAAGGGCAGGGGTGACGAGAGTTCAGAGGTGAACAGATGGACTTGGTTGTACTGTGGATGTGAGGAGGGTTGGTTCATATGCTGCCTGGCTCCGTAGTCCAGAGATCTATTTTGACTCATTTGAGTTTCTGATCGGTTTTTATTTATTCTCGTTTTGGGGTGCATAAGAAAGTGTGTAACCAGTGTGTTCACCGTACCATTCAATCTGCTGTACATATGACAATAATAGGGAGATTTCCAGTAACTCTTTACAAGAATTATGGTTGCTGGAGAAACATTTTCATCTCTTCATTTAAAAAAAAAATCATGAGCTTAAAAAAAAAAGAGAAAGCACACGACTAAAAATAATTATACGGTTAATTCTTAACACCTAAACATGCCTGCAGTTATATATCATCCTGCCTGCAATCCCAGGTAGCATAGTTGATCAAGAGCTTATTAATATTGTTCCAAAATGCCAGAAAAAAAAAAACCCTGTACATAATGTTATATTGGATTGAGTGTGATTTGTTGTATTGCGGCTTGCTTTAAAGTTTAAAAAAAAAAAAAAAAGCAGAAAAGATGTGCGTGTGGTCAACCAACCCATCCATCATCTCACTTTTAACATGCTAGCCAGGTACAACTAGGGCCAAATGGAAAGAGAGGGGTGGTGGGGACTGTCACTCTGCTTTTTTATTTTCTACATGATACCATAGAAACCTGATTCGGTAGGATTGATATTTGTCCAGAGCTCCTGTATGTTTTTAGAGATGGATCTCATATTTTTTAATGATGTATTATACTGTAATTTGTACTGTAAATACTGTCCTTAAAGAGTTTGGGGGCGGGGTTGGTTTGTTTTTAAACGTCATAAGGGCCTCTTCACCTCTTCATGATGTCATATTATAGGGTATGTTTCATCCCGGTGTGCGGACACACACATACTCTCAATGAACATACACACACACACACACACACACACACACACACACACACACACACACACTTGCAGGCTGCAAATGTTGGCAGAGGTATATTGATTGGAGGGAAAAAAAGTATTTAAATTCAAAACAATGTACCAAACCTGTAGATATTCCTTCTGATTTTATCGTATTATCAGTAAATTCAGTAGTGTTGGCAGAAAGTTCTTTAGCTAAAGGTTTCCTTCTGGAGAAAATGTTTCGGTTTCAGACGGTGATTGAAAGTAGGAAGGAAGTTTATGTGCAGCAGAAGCCAAAACACTAAAACTGAGACAAAAACACTGTTAAGGTCCCATAAAATGTTCACATATCTTCATCCGATTGCCTTTGTTTTTCATACATAAAGCTCAGTTACTGGAGTCATTTCCTCATATTGACCTATACACTGTCCATGTTCGAGTCATTTCAGATCTCCCATCCCGATCAGCAGTCAGATTACTCGTCTTAGTCCAGGGTTTATCTGTTTCTATAGCCCTGACCCTCCTGTCTCATAGCCCTCGTGACAAATCTGAGGTACGGCTTTCAAGATGCCTCCAGAAGTTAAAGCCTTTGTCATGTCGTGTCATATCAAAAAACACTAAAACTGTTGTATTATAAATCAGCCAATTATGCAGAGGTGGAAAGAGAGGGGATTCAACCCCAGCCACATGTGTAGCTCCTCAAAATGGGCTGTTGTTTTGAAGTGTAGAAGCATTCAGTCTATTGATCACCTATGTTTCAATCTAAGTGCTAAAGGTTAGGTAGATATTATAGGGTCTAGTCGAAAGCCCAGCGGGGGTTTTGGGGCCGCTCATGTCACGAAAATATCAAAAGACTTCTGTCTTCGGATCATTATGTTTAAATGAGATGGTATCAGCGGGGATAGTACTGATCATCACCAGCTTTTTAACAGGGTCACCTGACCTGTAGATGAACAAAGTCTAAAGCTTTTTTTATTTGAACAAACTCGATGCCAGGTGTTGCAAGTTCTTTTTTGTTCTTGTGGTGTGTTTCCTAATTTCATTTTTTTTCTTTTCTCTCTCATGAACAAATCTATGCTTAAGTAGCCACTTGCCTTGTAACATTGTGTTTTATTTTGTGCAGATACAGTAAAATTATTAAGTACTGTGGTGTTTACATTGTAACCATATTGTAGAGTATCTGAGAAAAAAAACTGTTGCCTAATGATGCCAATGAAAGACAAACTATTAACCATGAATTTTTAAGTGCAAGTAAAAAAAAAAATAACCTGAAGTGTCTAGAGAGAGAAAGAGAGCAAGCGTGCGAGCGATGACTCGTTTTTGTTGTAGTAGTCGTGCTAATAATGATCCCTGTCACTTTACACTGCTACTACAATGTGTTAACACTACATGTATGGGTGCAATTCAGTAATGAAGAGAATGACTAGAGAAATTTCATCAAGACTATATATTTTTCTACCATATCCGAGTTTTAACCTGGGCGAGCTTCCGGACACTTTCGAGGACACACTGTGGGGGTCGATGGGAAATTGGAAAAACGGGGACTGGTTGTTATAAGATCATAGTGATACTGAGAAATGATCTTATTACAGGACGTCTCACCTTGCTGGTGCCATGTGCCACACTTCCTCCAAAGCCCAGTGTGTTCTTCTAACATGTAGATTGACGTGTCGGTTGCCAATAGATCAGATTTTTAAATTTACCATTTTTATTTTTGAATTTTAGATGAAAACACTTTGTAATTTTGTTTCCCTACTGCTTTGATCATGAGCTGTGAGAGCAGGACAGCATCTTGCTAAAACCTGGACGACTGCTCACCGAAGGCGAAATCTTGAAGCAAAATCTCTGTAGTCGAGAAACTTAAATCTTAAACTTGGTAACTGATAACTGGACTATGAGGACATAATGTTTCCTTGTTTTGGCAGGTAACCACTCTTGAAGCTCACACCCTTTTACTCTTTCACAGGATGTGTGTTACACAGGGGGCTGCACAGAGCTGGTGTGTTCAAATTCTCTTTGTACTCTTGTACAATAAAGGTGCCTGGTGGAACTGCTTTTAAAAAGAAATCTCATAATGCACAGGAAGTCTGGTTTTGTTAAGACAGATTCCTCCCCATTGTCTTTAAAGCGAGCTAGTGTAACAGCAACTATAAGATAATAGTAAATGTGCTAAGAAATGAAGTAACAGAAACAGAAGAGAAGGGGCATTAAGTAGTGTCAGTTACACAGTAATATCTGTCTACACAAGCTACTGGTCATACCAGTCCAAGCTAGCAGCAAAACCTCTGAGAATATTGAATCGAACAAGGGTGTGTTTTACAACTTTTGACTAATCTTTTCATTTGTAAAAGGAGGATTTTGTCATTTCTTCTTTATATATTCGTTATATAGTCTCGCTTTAATGGTTGCATTGCCATTGCTTGAAGCTAAACCCAGCCCATGCCTCTTAAAGGAGCAATAACTGTAAACTTAAAGGGGGCAAAATTTCTCACTAACTTGATGGAAAGTGTCATTCAAACATCGTCACACTTTGCATTCGTTTTCTCCTCTAAAGCCCAGTTCAGACCAAACATTCGCAGTGAGACAAGATGAAACTTGCAACTACTTGCAATACGTTGGTCTGCAACATTCAGAAACCTGCCAGTCCACAACAACAATGCAACTATACAGACAGTGTATCGTCTCCGTAACAACGACTTTTCAGGCTTTTTTTTTTTTTTTTTTTTTTTTTTTTTTTTTTAGCTGGATTTAATTTGTAGCGTCCTAAAATGTAAAATGAGGATAATGATGGAGAGTTACTTCAGCCAGAGTTATAAGAATTTGGAGCCATCCATGGATCCATAGGTAGATTTTAAGGCTTTTGTCAAACAAGTTCATGAGGTGATCCTCTCTTCTCTCCGTCCAAAAACGTTTGACCAGCTGACAGTTAACTGTAACTGACTCGACCTGCTAACTTTGCAATGAGCTGATTGGCTGTTGAAACAAGTGACATGCCTTACGTCCTTTGACAAGCTGAGTTGCACACCGCCTTCAGCAGACTTAGAGTCGAGCTGAGACTACCAGTTCACACAGCTGCAACGTCTCGTCGTGAATCTTTGGTCTGAGCCGGGCAAAGGGATTTAGCTGTATAGGGTTTTTTTCATGTCTTCAGAAAATATTTTTTTTAAAAGCTGATACCTATTTTTGTTCATATTCTGAAATAAATAGTTTATTTATCCAAATTTATCCAAGATTAAACAATGATTAATGTGTTAATATGTATCACCTACAGCTACCGTGAGTCTGTGTGGAGGGTAAAACGATGTGGTAGCTCATTATTTAAAATATGTTCTATATCTTACTGTCTTACTGTAGAACAGTAGCAGAAACCCATCTAACAGGAAAGGCAAACTGGCTGCAGCTAGTGAACGTTTGCTGCTCTTGTGTGTAGCTCAGTAAACAATGAAGAGAGACTGAATCAACTTTCCTTGTGTTGGATTATGAGATTGATTTGTAAATGCCAGCCAGCACTCTTCAAATCTCTGGTTCATGTTGGATCACCGAGCTCTGCAGGCAACACCCCCACCCACCCCCCCCTTTGTAACTCACACTGTCATTCTTTGTTTTTTCATGCATTTTCAGTCCTGATAGGCCAAAAGGGATGCACTGCTCATGATGGGGAGGGAAAGTGAAAATTGTTCCTCCGGTGGCAGCGTTATAAATATAATTTATTAGACCGTAATGGCTCAAATTGAATAAAAACCATAACCCAAACTGTTTGGCATAACTTAACATAAGAAAACTGTGTGTTTATGTTGGACACAAGAAGAAGCTTATTGACAAAATGGGTTTTCAGGGCCTTTAATTGACCTTGTCGAGTCAAAGTATCTTATCAATTATAGATAATTGACTTTAGTTCATATTGTATCCTGAAAGCCAATAATTATAATAACTGCAAATTAAGATTTGCATCATCTTTAAAAAAAAAAAAAAAAAAAAAAAGTGTTAGGTATGAACGCAGCCACTAGATGGCGGAGTCTGCCACTTCCCCTCCCCATAGAGAGGGACAGCATTTTAGACCAGTGTGTTTCAACTGATCAGTATAAATTAACGAATGGTGTCATTGCCATTGAGGGAGTTACTGTGCTTCTACTGCATTCTAACTGTTTTGTAACCTTTAATGTAGAGAAATAACAACGTGCCATTTCTTTCTCCCTGAATGTGCAATACGAGCTGTTTCTTGTGAAGGTGCAACTACATTGCTGTCACTCTGTGGTTGTGTAGCTCCACCTGCCCTGGTGGAATAGCGACCTCTCCTGTTTGTATGGAACTAGTACCACCTCACAGAGGTGGAGGGGCATCGGTTCGGACCTTCATCTGGATGTGGCGTGCTGTCTCTAGTTTTCCGGTCTGTTTTGTAATAGAATGTGCTCCTTGGCTGGCCTGCAGGCTTTACAGCTCTGTGTTGTCTTTTTACTGTTTACTGCTATTTAACTGTCCGGTCCTTCAAAAGTTAAAAAATAAATGAATAAAAAATCTAAAGAAACTGTAGCCTGCTTCTACGAAATCTTAAAGCTCTTCTGATTTGCATATATCGTACTGTAATGTTTTATTTAAGATTTTCGTGAAAAAAATGTCTGCATTTAAACTAAATTATGGGAATTAAAATTACAAAGAATACCTAAACTCCACTGAGTTGTGTGTCTTATTTTTGGAAGTATGTGTTTGAGTTCAAGATATAACATTTTCTATCCTTTTTTGTGTTTGTATGTGATCAAATACACGTATGTATTGCTTTATCACACACACACTGTACAGCTGCAGCAAGATGATATAATTCAGCCTTTTATGAACATAAATATTGTATGTCCCCATGTTTTATCAGATATATGTGGTGATTTGTGTATGGCATACAATTTTTCATAAACTCCTACTATTTTGTTTGTTTTAATCTTCATAAAAACATCTGGAGCACTGTGTTCTTGGGGACCAGTTCCATACTTTTAATGGCTACAAATATTAAGGCAGCAATGTTATTTAGCTGTTAAAGCCCCTAAAATTGGTTTAAAATCTAAAGTCTTACCATTATCAATACTTAACAAATACATTGTTAGTTTATAGTTTTTAAGAGTTTAACACAGACTGTTGGTGCGGTTTGAACAGATTTGATTGAAAACCCCACATCTGGAAATGTATTTCAAACAGTTTGAAACAACCTGATCAATCAATGATCAAATGGGTCATTTTAAACTCATACACAGAATTGATTTAACTCCCAGAAGAAACGTTCTACATAACCTTACTGAGAACGTTTGTATATTTTACATACGCGTTTGACTGCTTTGGTTATCTGTAATATAGTGTTGTGCCTTAAAATAGTTAATGTTGTGGTTGTGTCTGCTCATTTCCGTCCACTTTGCATGCATTTGGTTTCCTATGGCAACCGCCCTCTTTAAAGACTGAATTAAACTGCCACATCTTTTCAGGCTGCTGTTATTTAGGGGTTTTGAGCTCAGATAATAATTCAGTGACTTGGCACAGATTGCACTTTAAGTTCCCAGGACTGTGGCTGTCTGTGCTGGCTTTAATTTAAGACGTCTCTACAGTAACGCTGAAAAATGCTGGTTTGATGCTGGCACACAGCAAGTGACACCATTTACATTCAATGGGATAATGGTTTCCATTTCATGTTGGTTAAATCAGTAACCAAAAAGAAATGGAAACCATAACCTCCCTGCAGTCGGGGGGTTTGCAGTGTCTCAGAAACAGCGACATTGTTCGTGGTCTGTGAAAGGTATTTGTTCATCCTGATTTCTTTATTTGTGGTTCTTGTGTTCATCTTAATTGATAACAGAAAAGCCCTTCAGCTGTGATAAAGTGTGACTCCTGCACAGTCTCATCAGGGATCAGGAAGTCCATTTAACTCCAGCTTGTGGTTTATGGTGACTTTTTAAAAAAAAAAAAAAAAAAAACAGGGAGAAGCTTGTATGTTGTCATTCTAACTAATTAATATAACAGTTGTTCTGGTTCACTTTTTTTTTTCATTTTAAACTTTCAGCGTGTTTTTAAAGTCCAGCTGAAATTAAACTGTATTGTTTTTTTTCTGCTACAGAATTAGTACATGACTGTTCTGTCCTAAGACATTTATTTATATATTTGTTGTTAGTTGCATCCCGTCTTTGCATTGCTATGTCTGACTGCAGCCTGTTGTCCATCTACGTGGATGTAGAGCTCGTTTTCGTACAATCCAATTGTTTCATTTTGTATATAGTGACTTAGTGAAAGCGGAGTATTTTGACTGAGGCCTCTCCTTTAACTCTATTTACATAATTCTTCTTCATCATTTGCATTATCCTCCAGCAAGTATTTGTCATTACTTTTTTCTTGATGTTTGAATTGTTTGAAATGTAATAGTGGAAGCTGCTGTCTTCTTGGCATACTGCAAAAAAACCTGTTCTTCATGTTGTTATATGTGGACTACAAACACTTTACATCCCAAGCCCAGCAACTTCACTTCCACTAGTCTGTGTGTGTGTGTGTGTGTGTGAGTGTGTGTGTGTGTGTGATATTGAGAGACACTTAAAGAGGGACCAGACACCACGGAAGAACACGATCAAAAGAGGACGACTATGAGGTTTTAAGTGGACCTTTGACCTTCTATTATTTTGTTACACAAGATCAAGATTACAAGCTCAGAAATCAGCAGTTTTGTGATTCGAGACATATCATGGCTTTTTTTCCTTTTGATGTCTGAGATCCTCAGGCTCTGTGTGGTCTGTTTCCATGACACAATAACATAAAAATAGAAGAGTGATTTCAGTGTTTGAAGAACAAAGAAATGGCTATTTTGTTCTTTTTAGGCATTTAATGTGGCACGCTAACTGGTGAACTGTTACAAATGAGACTAATTAAGGTTCTGTTCCATTTAGTGCAGCAGGGTGAGTGTACACAATCACAGCACCCTGACTCTGTTTGACCTGAATCACTATTTTTGGTAACACTTGTGTTAACCCTATTTTATGTCAGACTGCTGTGAAAAAGGTCTATTATATACAGTACCCTGTGTGTTTGGTACTTAATTGCCCCTTTCAGCTGTCCTAATCTTTCTTGGAACATCAGCAACCACAGCTCCATTGGGTCTAACAGTTGTTACCAAGAGGCTGACCAAGTCCAGGATAAAGATGTAAGTATTTAATGTTGCAGTGATGTAACTCGAGGCAGCATCGGTTGGAGCTGAAGACTAGCAGTTTGAAAATGAAACCTCACCAGACCGCTGTAATCCATTCCTCATCTCCTGCTAGCAGCTCCAATATCTGACCGAAATGTCTGTGGTCAAGTTGTATTGTGGGTAATGTAGGCGCCAGGGTTTGAGAACGACATAGGTGTGGTCTCAGAAATAAAGTTGACACAGAACATACAGTAATAAGTGAAGGGAGGACAAGAACCCCCCCCGTGGAAATAATGCCAAATTGGTACTCAAGGTTTCATGGTTAAAGTGATACTACGCGTCTGTTTTAGTCTGAAATCTTCTGTCATCCTTCCCTTCAGTCCACTCCACTATCACCTGGACTTGATTTCGTCTAGCACGTTTATCTGATGTGGCGCCGCTGCGGTGAATGAGGACATGCATCAGGAGATGACAAGACTTATTGAGATTGAACTTGACCTGTAAGATAGGTGTTTATTTTTACCATATGCTGTACATGCTCACCAAGAAGTTAGCAACTGAGAAAAAAAAAAAAAAGAAAGAAAGAAAGAAAGTAAAAACACAAACCAGAGCAGGATTGGGTTAGTTCATTTCCATCCAAAACATTTTTATTGTCCTCCAAACTGAAAGGTTTACCCTGTGATTTGGCTTGTTCGCTGAGCCAAAAACATACATTGCATTTCTTCAGGTAGCGGTGGAGGCATACAAAGATCTTTCTGACTGAGAGAAATTAATGGAAAGAGCAATACAGGATTCTCTCCTTCAAGTCACATGATAAGTAATCTTTGCATTCACGAGTAATGGAGAGAAGATTAATTTCAGATCACGGGAAGCTTGAGAGAGTAGCATCTGGTCTTCCATAAAAGAGAGAGAGGGAAAACAAAAAAAAAAAAAAAAACAAACAACCGTATGTGTTGTGTTTCTTCCGTGTTAGAAAAGGCCAGAAAATGGTCACACTGAAGAGACGGTTTCATCTCTGTTTGCCTCCGGGGGTTGTGTAACGCCTTTATGTAGAGCATCTGTAGTGTACACAAATGGACACTGGATATGCAATTCAAAACCAAAGTGCCCACAGTCAATATAAAGCAAGGTCACATGACCCAAAACAGGTGATGTCACACAGGGGCGGAGGGGGAGGGGGGGGGGGTCGAGACTGGACATGAATGTAACCAAACGCAGCCGTCAGTCTGTTTGTGTGTGTGGTGCAGGAACGCCAGTGACGCGGCTCTCAGCACCGTTCATTTACAGTTACTCAGGTGTCTGAACAACAGAGAAAGACCTCCCCATCTAGTGACTGTGCAGTTAGAAATGGGCACATGGTGATTTAAGCTCATGCTCAAGTTGTGGTAAACCATCCAAGCACTTCTTTAATTAATAACTATAAATACACAGCAGCGTTTTTAAATCGGAGAGGTTTCTGTCTGCCTCCTCTCCCTGGGTGAGTGTGTGACGTGTTCGTCTCTTAAAATGGCTAACTACGCTTTGCTCATCTGCTAGAGAAAAACACGGGTTATGTGGAATTGATTATCAACTTTCATATAGATTTTTCTATAATATATTTATATAGTTATTTTTCTTTCTCTCACGCACCCACCACGCTTGCTTGCTTTCACATTCTCTCGTCTCACTACTTTTATTCAATGTACACAACGTAATAAACATGGGGTTGAGTGGGGAGCGACAGAGCTGAAATGACAATCACTGAGAAAAAAAATAATAAAACAAAGCCAAAAAGAACTGCAGTCTTTTTTGTCATCCATTGGCAGTTGGACCGACTCAGCAGTCAGCCAGTTACAATGGTGGTTTGAGGGGAGAGAGAGAGAGAGAGAGAGAGAGAGAGCGAGTGGCCATGTCATCAAAGGGGTGGCGCGGGAGGCTCTTTCTTCGTTGGTGCTGTTTTAGTCGTAGTTTTCGTCGTCTTGGTAGCCGGGGTCGTCTCCTTGAGGTTGAGGTTCTCCAGTGCCACGTCCAAGGTCATGACCTCAACACAGCCCATGGCCTCGAAGTCAGCGAAATTCCGCAACGAGCCGTGACAGTCGTCCTCGTCCTCGGAGGAAGAGGCCGAGGCGTCCTCGTCGGGGAGCAGCGTTGACAGCAGCAGCTCCGTCACAAACAGGCTCCTGTCGGCCCACTGGGCCTCGCACGCCTGCCGCTCTGCCTCAGACAGCCGCGGTTCGCTCAGCCTGCGGGAGAGACGGGAGGCGACAGGATCATGTAGCAGTTGATAATAAGGAGGAAGACGAATGGATGACAAATCGGGTTACAGTAAAGAATAAAAAAAAAAAACACATCTTGGAGATCCCCTCGAGATATTTTAAAGGTCCAGTGGTTAACGTTAAAGAGGATCTATTAGCAGAAATAGAAAATAACATTATTGTTTCTAATTCTTAATTACATCTACTCCTTTTCTCTGAATGAAAAATCATGAAAGATCATTGATTATCCAAATATTGTTCATTTCAAAAACTTAATTGCTGGA